CACACATCCCCTCGGCCAGCAACTCCTCCAGCCAGCGGAGGAAGCAGGGGCTGCCCCAGCACAGGGACACTCACTTCCCCGACAGGTACCGCGGGGGGACGGGCTGGCTGCGGCTCCCCCCCGAGGGGGGGTTGGCCCCGGGGAATGGGATGGATCCTGCGGTTTCCCACCGGTGGCACCTTGGGGCCAGGCTGGGAAGGCTGGCACGGGTACCCCAGGGGTGTGGGAGGGGAGGGGATACCTGGGTCAAGCATTGGAAGAGGCTACCGAGGGAAGTGATGGAATCACAGTCTTTGGGAAGTGTTCAAAAAGTGTGTGGTTGTGACACCTGGGGACATGTGTTAGTGGTGGAGCTGGTAGTGCTGGGCTTGATCTGAGAGGGTTTATCCAACCTTTGTGGTTCCATGATTTGGTGGGTGAGGGTGGCAGTGCCCGTGGGGTGGGCAGAGTTATTTGTTATTTGTGACACCCTTGGGTGTTGTGCAGGTGCAGAAGTGGTGGGAGTGTTCCTGGGGTGTCTGTATGAGGAGGAGGGTGATCTGTGCTTGTGCACATGTGCATCCACATCCAGGTGAGCAGCTCTCTGGCTGGATTCATCCCAATCCTGCCATGGATCTCCAGAGCAGATGCTACTCTACCCACTTCCTTGGCACCAAGCAAGTTAAGGTGGTTAAGTTTGCATTTTGTAGCATCCCCAGATAACGACAGACAAGGAATGCTCTTAGGATGGAATAGGAAAAGAAGATTTCTTTTTTAAGGAATACAAGCACAGCTTGCCTTTACCACTGCTAGGAGTGCTGGAAAGCTGATATTCCACCCCCCCCCAAGGAAATTCTAGCTCATTTATCTTGCTCTGTGCCACGAGCCATTCCCTCTGCGATCAAGAACTTCAGAGAGAAATTAAATTAGAGCTGTGTGCATTTCTGACAGGGATAGCAGAGGCAGGAGAGGGCCATGGGGGGTGCAAAGGCTTTGGATAGCATGGGACAAGCTGGGAAAGGCTCTGGTATTTAGGCTTTTTTTGGCTTTCATCTTGGGGTGGGGACAGAGCAGGCTGCAGTATCAGTTCTATAGTGTGTGTGTATGTATGTGTCAAGTCCAGAGTCTTTCCCCTCCATTTATAGCCTTGGAGATCCTGTCTGGTTTTCCTTCTTTCCAAGCAATGCCTTTGCAATGTGTAGGAGCTGGACAAGACCTGCTAAACCTTTCTCCTCCAGCGTGTACTTTGGCTAACCCACCTCATAAAAATCCAGCCCAGTCCATGCGGGTTGCAGGCAGACCTGGGAGGAATGCAGAGATCCACGAGTTGCAGTGCAGCCAGTCATCAAGAACATTTCTCCAGCTCTGTGTGGCCTGGAGAAGTGCCAGGCCAGCCGGGGGCCTGGCTGGGAAGGCTTGTACGGAAGGGTGGAGGCAGCTCATGGGGAGGTGCAGCTCACAGGAGGGGCAAACTGAGAATGAATTAGATGTGTAGGAAACCCACAGGTATTTGCCACTGCCAGACAGGTGTTGTAGCTAATGGAGCTGGGCTAGGTCAGGAAGTGTGAAATGGTTTGGGAAAGAGGGGAGAGAAGTTGCTTGCTAGGTCAGGGAACAGACACACTGAAGCCCAGGAGCTGTTGGAACAAGCCATTGCTTTTCATCTTGATTCTGTTCTCCAAGTAGTTGTATTTGTTAGGAACTGCAGGGACAGGACAAGGAGGAATGGGGGTAAATTGAAAGAGGGGAGTTTGGGTTAGATATTAGGAAGAAGTTTTGGCTGTGAGGGTGGTGAGACACTGTCCCAGGTTGCCCAGGGAGGCTGTGGCTGCCCCAACCCTGGCAATGTTCATTCCAGGTTGGATGAAGCCTTGAGCAACCTGCTCTGGTGGGAGGTGTCCCTGCCCAGGGCAGGAGGTTGGGGCTGGATCATCTCTAAGCTCCATTCCAACCCCTTAGCAGTCTATGAATAGTTGCATTGGCATGAGAGGGAGATCGAGGTGAGGTGAGGGAAAGGAACACACATAGATCGTGGTGAGGTGAGGTGAGGGAAAGGAACACACAGGGGCACAACCTGCCTTTGATGCTGAGAGAAATCCCTGTGGGGCCTTGGAATAGGTGTGCAGGAGTCTCAGTTTCCCTTGCTGCATGGTGACAGTTGTTCTTGTTTTGAAGGCAGGTTGTATTTTAGGTTTGGGAAGGCCTTAGAGTGGCTCAGTTCAAAGAGCAATGTGATGTGGTGTGTAGTGTGGAACAAGGGTGTTTTCACCCACTTGTAAAGGTCTAGCTTTAAGACCTTGCAACCCAAACCATTCTGTGATTAGTTCACAGGGTAGTTATTTCTCCCCTGAGGTTTGCAGCCCCCTGAGTGTCACTGAGGGTTTGTTTGGATCCCTCTTCTTCCACTCAGAAGTGACCTGGTTGGAGCTGTCCTGTGCATACTGTTCCTTGCTGTCTTGCCAAAGCACCACAGGTGTTTTTAGGAATGCCAGGAGAACCCAGAGCCATAAAATGAGTAAAGCACCATGTGGGTTAATTTTTCCCTTCCATTCACTCTTAGCCTTGGGTTTTGTACTCGGCTGCCATGCTCTTTGTCAACAGAGTAGATCACAGCAGCCTCTGTGCACCTTTATTATGAAGGCACAGAATTTTCCAAAGGCTCAGGTAGGCACTGACAGAGGAGAAGGGAGTGGAGGAAGGTGGTTCATGTACATAGGCAAACTGTAGGTAGATTTATGGCATCTCCTTTCCCAGGAGCAGAGGTAATAATGCATGATGCAGGAGGATGTGAACTGTTTGGCATGGTGTTAAAATTCCATTTCAGCTTCCTATTGGGAGATCTGTGGGGATCAGGTCAGCTCTCAGGTGTAGCAGCTTTGTGGGCAAGAATAATTAGTCACTGCAGACTTCAACCATTATGTCTGGCAAAGTGAGAGGGGAAAACCCACACTGGTGACCCAGTTTCATTTATCAGGGCAGTGCTGCTGGTTTTGCAAAGATAGGAATGCAGAGAATTTGCCTGATAATGGCAATTATACATACAGTTTTCCAGTTTCCAGGTGTGAAGAGGTGGGTGATGAGTCTGAGCTAGGGAACACTTGGGAAGATGAGTGTTTTCCAGACATTCATCAACTAATTATCACCCATCTTTGGTGGTCAGAAACAGGCTGGAAGGTTTAGTGACACTAAACACAAGGCAGGCAGGTGGGTGCTGAAGGGGATAATACACACATGTGTGCACACAAACACAGAAATATGGATTTTCTTGGACCAGGCTCCAAGGTCCTTTCAGTGGAAGAGTGATCCCTTCACTCTTTGCTCTGACTTACTCAGGAAAGAGTTAGTAAAACTGACATGTCTTGCCAAAAGTAGACTTAAGCCACAGGCTGGAGAATCCATTTAGTTCCATGGTTTTGCTTTCCTAGATCCTTTCTAGATTGGTTCAGACATAGATTATGGAGTGCCAGGGCCTGGTGGTTTGTTTGAAAAGATTGTTGAGTTCAGGGTTATAAAAAGACTTGGAAGAGGAAAGGGTACAACTAAAAGGTGTCACTGTAACTACTCCAGCCTGGAGTACTTCCCATCTCCAAACTGCTGTGTCTCCTGCAGAAATGGCAGGTGGCTGTGCCCTGCAGAGTTGCTTGGATCCTGTCTCCAAGATTTGTTGGCACTCTATTTGGTTTTACTGGGGTCGTTTAGCCTGGCATGTTCTTACCCAAGGTGCTCATCTCTGTGCTTCTCTCAGAGCAGGCTGGTCTGTGTGGAGCCTGGGAAAATCTAAGGAAAATCTTTTATGCCCTGCAGACAGAAGGAATTGGAGCTTGGGCAAGGCTGGATGAGCTGCTGAGCAGTGTGGTCAGTGGGGTGAAGCTTGTTGGCTGGATATGATGCATCAGTTCTGTGTTAGGAGTTGTTAGGAGCTCGTTCTCATGGATGGCATAGGGTCTGGGGGGACCTGCCCCTCTCTCAGGAGGGAAGGAGGCAGAGTATGGTCAGAGAAAGGGCAGGTGCTGAGTCAGGTACTTGGTACAAGCACTCAGATGTCTCTGGTGCTGTCTGAAACAAGCATTAGGGACACAGTTCATCTTCCAGGACCATAGACAATTACAGGGTGAAGGCAAGAAGAATGCCAGGGAACAAGAAATACCATCAGCATCCTCATCCTTGAGGCCCTGTGAAGCCAATCTCCTTGGCTGGAGTGTTCTGGGAGTGGGAGCCACAGTGTCTCAGAGAGGCTCTCATTGCCCTTCCATTGCAGAGAGCTGACAGACACTGTGCATCAGCCAGAGGCTTTCTCTGAGCAGAGATGTGCCCAAAATACCCAGCAAGGATTTTTTGGATGGTGTTCTTTCCATCTGCTGCTGCTACAGTTTGTTCTTTCACTACCTAATTCCTCCCCTCTGCACCGTGGAGCCTTTTCCTTTTCCCTCCTGGCTCCTTGGGCACATTCTCCTGTGCTCTCTGGACATTGTCTCTCTCTCCTCTTACCTACCCCAGCCCTACATCCCCCTGGCTGCTCTGAATGCTGTGCTTTGCTGGGAGGATTCCTCCCCAGCTCCCAGCTGGCTGAACGTTGTGCTGAGCAAAGGCCAAAGAGCTTGACCTGATTTAACTAATTTGATTTTAGCCCCAGTTTGGATTTTGAGGGAGTGATCTCCCCTGGCAGCACAAACCAGCCCCTCTCCATGTCCAGACCTCATTGCTGCCCTACAAGGGCAGCTCCAGTATGTGTCTTTTCCTGCCTGGAAATCCCAAACACCATTTTTAGAAAGCCATTTTATTTGTTTTCCCTTGCTGGCACAGTGTCTGTGGATGGCAAAGCACTGAGGAGCTGTGCTCCCTGCCTATTACCTCGGGTTTAAAGTGTCTCTTCCTATCAAATGCAGAGCAGAAGAAAGCAGAGCTTTCATGCATTCTTTTTTTTTTTTCCCTCCTCCTTCCATCCGTTCTAAATTTATTTCCATGCCTTGCCGGTTTCAATCTGCATTTCCTGACCCTCTCACATCTCCAGTCACAGCCTGAGCTCCAAACCTTCCCTTGGAGCTTGGAGCAAGTCAGGGGGGAGCAGAGTTCTGGGCTTGGGAGGATATGATGGGGTTAAAGTGAAAGGCTTGGTTTTAACAGTATAATGTGTAACCCCATAATGACTTTAAATATTGATTATTTGAAGGCCATTAGTGCTTATTGTTAAAGAAAAGTCGATACTTTTTAAGCCTTGTGAACCATTTGTCTCCTGTTAAAGGACATATCAAATTTAGCAGCATGCAGTGCAAATCCCCTAATACCCTGCTCACAAGCCTCCAGCTGGCATATTAGGGGGGAAAAAAAGAAAAGGGGGTGGGTGGGGAGGAATATGCAGGAACACAGAATTGCTCTCTGCAAGGTAAGGACAAGGTTTATCAGATGTAATTGCCAAGGGCTAAATTCACGTTCTCAGAACATGGCACTATAATTCCACCCTTACTCTGAGCACTGGAGGAAGAGGAGGGAGGAATTTAATGGGGGGTTGAAGGCTGATGTGTACCTGGGAAAGGATGCAAGGATTAGTGTTTTGGTGCATGTCTGTCTAAAAGCACAGCAGCCTTTGTTAAGGTCTCTGGGGCTTTTTACTCCAGGATTGGCAGTTCTTTCCCAAGCTTGCTTGAAAGCAATTGGCTGTATCTCTACCAGGCAGCCTGGGAGGGCTTCCCAGCTCTGTGCCAGGACATGACCTGGTGGTGCTGCCTCCCTCCTGTGCCAGGTTTCCATGCCAAGGATCAGGCAGATGGGCTGGAAGGGAGCAGTGCAAAGCTCGAACAGGTTCTGTGTTGGGGAGGTTGGGTTTGTGGGGTGGCAGAAAGCATCTGTCCTTTTGTGCTCATGCAGGTGAGGTGCTCCAGCAGGACCTGGGGAGCATCAGCCTACCTGCAGGGAGAAGAATCTCCTGTCCCCTGAGTATTTATGAGCATACCTCCTTGTTTTCTAAGCTCTCTGCTGCTGGGGATTGATGCTGGGGACAGCAGGAGAGGTGCAGTGACCCCTTCATGTTTGGCCCATCTCCAGCCTCCCTTCCCTGACCTCAGACCAGACTCTACAGGTGTGGCAGTGCCAGGTGTGAGATCTTGGGGTGCTCCTGTGGGTTTGGCCTTACCCAGCAGCTTTGCCCTGTGTGTGTGTTTGGTGGAGAGCTCCAGAGCTGCTGAGAGAACAGCACTGGGGTCTCCACGTGTCCTGCTGTGTCAGCCAGGCCCAGTGACAGTGTGTGTAAATGTGTCTCCCTGAATTTTCTCCTCCTCTGGACTAATCCCAGTGGGTGGTGTGTGTGGAACAGAAGCAGCACCTGGATCTCTCACATCCAAAGTGACTCCTGATGTGTTTTGTCCAGCCTCTCTTACCTCCAGTTGCTCCCAAGCCACCACCACAGGCTGCTGTGCTCAGTGTGTGCCTGGCAGTGGGATTGGGTCCAGGAGCAATGGATTTGTCCTGCTACATCCCCTTTCCCAGCCAAGCATCCCTCCCTGGCCACTCCAGAGCATGAGCTGATCCCTGGCTCTGTCAGGCAGAGAAGCTTCTTCCCTGGCCACTCCAGAGCATGACCTGAACCCTGGCTCTGTCAGGCAGAGAAGCTTCAGAGCTCTGAAGAGAAGACAGAGGGAATGAACTAGAGAGTCTCGAGCAGATGTGAATTCCTTAGGGATCAAAGTTATGCCCTGTAGCACAGCATTAAAGCATAAAAATAGCCTCTGAGTAACACTGGGCTGTGACTGAAGGGAGAACCTTTTATTTTCCAGTGCCCAGTCCTGATCCCCATCAAACACTTTGCTTCCTGGGCACAGATTGTCTCTGCTAAAATCAAGAAGCTCCTTTGTTTTTTAGCATCCCTGTGGCACTTGGAGCTTCAGAACCCTCAGGGATCAGCAGCAAGTGAGGGGTGCCTGGCTGGGGAGGAGGATGTAACAGGACAAATCCATTCCTCCTGGACTTGATCCCATTGCAGCATCCTCTCAAATCCAAAGGGAGGGATCCCCTTGTCTGCATATTTAAAAGCCAGGGGGAGGGCTGCTGGTCACGGAATGGTTAAAACCCCCCCCCCGACTTGATTTCCTAAATTGCTCCTTCTAAAACGACCAGCACGTCTGGCAGGCTCGTCTGCCCATGATTACAGCTAATTACGATCGAGCGGACACCTCGGAGCCCTCGTCACGCTGCTTTAATTGTCCGTTATTCATCTGCAGCCTGGCCAGGGTGGCAGGAGCACTTGGCAGCCCAGCGACCGAGAGCCTCGGCTAATTGTGGGGCCTCGGGGATTAGGGCAGGTGATTACACACTTCACGGTGTAATTACATAAGCATCGCTTGGCTGCTGCCCCGGCTCGGAGCCGAAGGTCAGGGCGCTGCGCTACCTGAGATTAATTGGAGCTGCCAGCGCAGCGCGAGGTGCTGGCGGAGCCGTTATACGATTAGCATTAACATTTCAGCAGCGCCGGATCGATCCGTGGCTCTCCTCCAGACACAGCGAGCTGTGCAATTAGTTTAGAGGAGAGCTAGGGGAGGGAGGGAGAAGGAGGAGGAGGGAGAACAGGAGAAAGGGGAGGATGGGCAGAAGGAGGAATTTTGGAGAGGAATCTCCGCCAGGTGTGTTTGGTGGGTTTGTTGTTATCGCAGAGATTGGAGCATCTCCTCCTGTGAGGACAGGCTGAGGATGTTCAGGCTGGAGAAAGGTGTGTGGAGAGCTCAGAGCAATCTGCCAGGAGCTGAAGGGGCTCCAAGGAAGCTGCAGAGGGATCTGTGTTAGGACATGGAGTGACAGGACAAGAGGCAATGGGTGCAAATTGAAAGAGGGGGAATTTAGGTTAGATATTTTTCCCTTTAAGGGTTTTGAGATACTGGCACAGGTTGCCCAGGGAGGCTGTGGCTGCCCCAACCCTGGCAATGTTCATTCCAGGTTGGATCAAGCCTTGAGCAACCTGCTCTGGTGGGAGGTGTCCCTGCCCAGGGCAGGAGGTTGGGGCTGGATTATCTCTAAACTCCATCCCAACCCCTAAAATTGTATGATTCTCCTTGCCCACCTCATCCCCAAAGAGTCCTTGTCTGGCTTTTCATGAGCCATGGTGGTAATCCACCCGCAAGTAGGGTCATGGACTGCTGGAGTTATCCCACCCTCACATGTCATCCCCCCCAACTGAAATGGGGAGCGTGGCTGTGAGTATAGTCTGTTGCAAAGTCACAGGCACCTTCTGGCTCCCTTTCTCTTGCCCTCCAGTCTCTCCTGAAGCAGATTTTATAGGGAGATACTGTAAAATGAAAATAAACGGCACAGCACTTGGCTTTGCCTCTGGATGCCCTGGTGAAGGTAATAATGTTGTAAGTGGCCATCAAAAGGAATTAAGAGACATGCAGCCGGAAAGCAGATTTGCTTGCAGGCTCCCAGGGCATATTTGACTAATGGAAGAGACCTTGGCTCTTATTCCCTTCTTGCTTTGGGGTTGTTTTTTTTTTTTTTGCCTTCACCCCTGCTGCAAGCAGGTGCTCCCTGCCTTGCTTCCAGGCATTGTCCCTTTCCCACCACTCAAATCTGCCTCTTCCAGCTTATTTACCACCTGTATCTGCTCTACCTCTTCTGGCCACCATTTCCCACCCCTTCTCAAGCAGAACTTCCCACTGACCCCATGGCTCTTTCTGCTTGCATCCACTCCCCATCTCCCTTGTCTGTGTCTTTCTCTCTCCTCGTTTTCTCTCCAGAATTAAGGATCACCCCTTGTCCCAGCTGGCACAGGGATTTTTTGCAAGACATGTCAGTGGTGCCTTCAGAGCTTCCCAGACACCCTTCCCAGCTCCCAAAACACAAAATGCCTTTTCAGTTGTAGGTAGATGCATAAAAATCCAAGAGTGGTAAGGGCACAGGCAGATGCAGCATCAGTTGGGCCTTTGCTAGCTTTGGGCAGGCAAAGCCCTTTTGAACAACTGAAAGGCCACAGAAGCAAAGGTGGCAAGTATATGGGACCAGTGGAGTCTTGGCTGTTTTCTTCCTCTTTTGGTTCTGCTTCTTTTGGTTTTGTGGGTTTTTTTTCCTCTCCACTGAAGAAGTTCTGCATGTGGGTGAATAGACATCAATCAGAACAGCCTCTGGTGCAGAATACAAGTCACCTGCAGCCAGGATGTTCTTCCTGAGCCAGGATCCTCTGGGTGGAGCCTCCAGGTTTTCAACATGCATTTCTTTTCTGGTTTCTGCAGGGAGATATCTCACCCACCACCTCTGCTCTCACCCCAGAATGCACCCCACATTGCCCTGGGGCCCCACTTGAGACCTCCCTTCCTTGGGGTGCCTTCAGCACTGTGCCAGACACCAGGTGAGTGTGCAGGGAACACTGTGGGCAGGTGGGCAGAGTGGAGGTGCAGCCTGTGACAAACAGCCCAGACACATTTTCTGTGTCTCCCCATGACTGATGTGCTGACTTCACCCTTGTTTTGCAGTGACAGGAGCAGTTGCCTTGGCTGCTTTCTGCTTTAGCCCCCACCAGCCTCCCTGGTCCCATGTTTTGGCTAAAGGCTGAATTGCTGTGGGAGTGAGGAGTGTCCTTTAGGACAGAAAGGCAGCACTCAGTCACCCTTATAATTCCTTACTTGACCTATGTTTTCTCATTAGCCCTCTGGGGAGCTGGTCCTGAGGTAGCAAAGAGTCGATGCTGAGATTAATAACCCCACAGTGTTGTTCTCCCTGTCCCCAGGTTACGGGTTCCTACAGCCAGCACAGGCAGAGATGTTTGCACGGCAGCAGGAGATGCTACGAAAGCAAAACTTGGCCAGGTAAGAGTGGAGAGGGTTGGATTTGTCCTTCTCTGCCCTAGGAGCAGGCAGAGTGATGTGGGGTGTTGGGTTGGGTGAGCTGTGTAGAGGTGACAGTGCTGTCACAGTATCATAAGGGGTTGGGATGGAGCTTAGAGATCCCCCTGCCCTGGGAGGGGGCACCTCCCACCAGAGCAAGTTGGTCAAAACTTTATCCAACCTGGAATGAAACACTGCCAGGGTTGGGGCAGCCACAGCCTCCCTGGGCAACCTGTGCCAGTGTCCAGGTGATACCAATAGAAACAATGTGCAGGTGCAGAGGTAACACCTCCATCCTGCAAGCTCTGCCTCGCCAAGACTTGGAGGCAGCAATTCCCTCCCTGAGCCTACACCAACATTCCCTTTGTGCCTCTCCCATCAGGTTGGAGATGTCAGCCGAGATCATCCGCCAGAAGGAGCTGGAGAACCTCCACCGGCAGAGGCTGCTGGCAGGTGACCCTCTGAGCCTGCACCCCGGGCTGCCCCCAGACCACCCTGCCCTGCGCAACGTGCACGACATCCCCGAGGGTCACCCGCTGCGCGAGGAGCTGTCGCGGCGCAATGCCATGCTGGTGCTGCGGCACAACAACACTCCCCTGCTGTCCCTCACCCCCAGTGTCCCCAGCAGCTCCACGCCCCCCAAGGAGCAGCCCAGGAGCAGGGGCAGCAGGAAATCCACGCAGCACCGCGCGGAGCCGCAGGGGCTGAGCGAGGCCAAGGAGCTGGCGGAGCCGCGCGCGCGGGATGGAGCTCCGGACTGTAACGACGAGGAGATGAAGGACTCGGAGAGTGATGCGGATGTGAGTGATGAGAAGCCCGAGAGCCTGAAGGCTGAGAGTGGTGGCTCAGCCACGGAGCTCAAGGAGTGCAAAGAGACAGGAAAGGGCTGTGAAGGGGCTAAGGAGCTGAGCGAGGCGACTGCTGGGCAAAGTGCTCCCTGCAGCTCCTCCAGTGCAGAGTCTCCCAGTCATCTGCTTGGCCCAGGCATCAACAAAAGTGAGGTGAAATATCTCCCACCAGCCTCCATTCCAGCGCCTCAGCCGCTGCCCTTCGGATTCCCCTACACCATGAGTCCATACTTCCATGCAGGTGAGTGCTGCTGAGTTATGGGATGGAGCAGTGAGATGTTTTGTGTGCTAAAAGTGGAGCTGTTTCCCCTCCATTATGCAGTGTGGTTGTGGTTGAGTCATCAACTTTCCTTCCCTTCTTCAAAAGGAAGAATTTCCTCATGGAAATAGCTGTCAGGCATTGGAACGCGATGCCCAGGGAGGTGGTGGAGTCACCAACCCTGGAGGTGTTCAAGAAACTACTGAATATTGCATGTAGTGCTCTGGTCTGGTAACCATAGAATCATAAAATCATCAAGGTTGGAAGAGACCTTGAAGATCATCAAGTCTAACCATTAAGCTGTCACTGCTGTAGCCCCTAAACCTTATCCTCTAGTGTCAGATCCAGATACCTCTTAAACACTTCAAGGGATGGTAATTCCACCACCTCCCAGCTGACCAGGTGGTGATTGGTCACAAGTTGGACTTGATGATCTCAGGGGTCTTTTCCAACCTTTTGTGGTTCTCTGCAGGGAACCCAACACCTTCTGTGAGTATAAAGGATTCCATCTGCAGTGAAGCGAGTCAGTGGCCCTAAAGAAGAGGGGTCAGCATGGACAGAGTGAGTCCCAGATGAGAAGGGAGATCCCCAAAATGATGGAGTCAAGGAGTTCTCATCAGCAGGGAACACATCTTGGCTGTCCCATGCCCTTGGAGGTGTTGGAGTTACCACTGCTGTGTCCCTTTTCCAGGGCAGATGGGCTCTTTCCCCTGCCTGTGCTGTATTTCTCCGAGTCACAGGCACTTGGATAACTGGATTGATGCCTGTTGGATGGGCCAGGCAGGGAAGTCATTGCCAGCTCTGTGGTGTGGAGATGGACAGCAAAGGCACAGCTGGAGCCAGGCAGGAGCAGTGGGTACTGGTGGCACAGAGTGAGGTCTCAAACCTTGGTGGGCAGGGTGGGCAGCCCTGCTAGCCTAGCCAAGAGCCAAAATCTGCCTCAGCTGAGCAATTAGCAGGATCTCAGACCTCCTGCCCCAGGGAGGAGGGATAAGGAGGGGGGACGTGGCATGTGGGTGGCTGTTGTCTGTGCAGAGAGCTGTGGTGGCTGTGAACGTGGCTGCCCATCCCTCATTAGAGCTGCTTTCCAAGCAGGAAGGAGGAAGCGATTTTCCTGTGACAGGCAGGTGGCCAAG